TGCCTTACTGTGTCAAAAAAGGGTCTCTCACTGAAGTGGTTTGAATATGCTTGGCCCTTGGGAAGTGGCACTGTTAAGGGGTGTGGCCTTATTGGAGGAAGTATAGCCTTGTCAGAGGTTGCCTGCAAAAGAAAGTCCCCCTCCTGGCTGCCTTCAGATCAAGATGTAGAACTCTCAGCTCCTTCTCCAGCCTGAAACACTGCTGTGTTCTCACCATGGTGATAACGGACTAAACCTCTGAAACTGTCATCCACCCCCAATGGAATGTTTACCTTTATAAGAGCGGTATTGGTCATAGTGTCTCTTCACAGCAATGGAATCAAAATGAAGACACTCATTGAGCCGGAAGCTGGATGTTAATGCTGCCTGCCTGGTTGGTTGGTTGATTTGCTAGTGAGATCCCAGGGTCTGTCTGTCTCCCTGTCTTCCAATGCTGGGATTACAGCCACGCCTATCTTTTTTACATGGTTGCTGCGGATTCAAAATCAGGTCCTCATGTTTGTGCAACAAGCCCTCTCACCCACTTGGCCATTTCCCTCCTACTAATTGGATCTTAACTTCAGTTATTGGGGAGGCCATTTTCTTTGATATATTCTGCAGTCAGCACCAACTTATCTAGTCTACCATTACAGTTCAGTTTTGTGCCCACCAAGGCCTTGGTGACAATCCAATTTGTGCCAATCACTAGCTCTGCTCTTTAGGCAAACCGAGTCAGAAAAGAACAAACCAAAACAACAACAACAACAACAAAACCCTACCATGCCAGTTGACTGTGGTCACACAATCCTCCCTAGACTAAACAATTGGTGAAAGTGTGTTGTCATGTCCAGGCTATGGCAAGACCCCGCCCCCAGCACATTTGGTAGAAATGGTACTGTTGCTGACTTGCCCACGGCTTCGAATATTGATTAAAGGTAATTTTGCATTTGGCTTTTGAATAAGGAAAATAGTTGCTTAATTATTTCCAAAACAATATGATTTAAAGGTTTGGCTTTGGTAGGATGCCTCTATAATCCCAGCACTCCAGGGGCCTCTGCCTCTGGAGTAATAAGTTCAAGAGCTGCCTGGGTTTCATAGAAAATTCTAGGCCAGCCTGAACTGCATAGCAAGACTCTCAAAAAAGCCTAAAGAAAAAAAAACCCTACATTATACAATCTGTCATATGCCTCTTTTTAAAGGAACTTGAATTCAGTATGTTTGAGTTCCAAATGCTCCCATACTTTCCTTCAAAGCCAACACGGTCAGGTTCCTCACAGCAAAAATACCTCACTTAGGTACCAATTTCTGTTCTAGTTTGTTTCCTGTTGCTGCAATGAACACCATGACCAAAATAAACTGGGGAAGGAAAGGGTTTACTTTAGCTTGCTGGTTCTATAGTCCATCAGGGAAGCTCCAAGACAGGCACTCAAGGCAGGAGCTTGGAGCGGAAGCCAAAGGATGAATGCTGGTTACGGGTGTGCTTCCTTGTGCCAGCCAGCTCAGTGTTCAGCCAAGGTTCCTAGATGGCCCAGGCCTACATGCCTAGGGATGGCGCCACCCACAGTAGGCTGAAACCCTTCTACATCAATTATCAATTAAGAAAATGCCTCACAGACATGGCCACAGAGCAGTCTGATTTGAGCAATTCTTCAGTTGAAGTTCCCAGGTGACTCTAAGTTTGTATCAAGTGGAAGAAGGGTGAAGTTAACTATGACATCACCCTTTTGCCCACGGTCATCGATATGCATCATTTTAGTTCAATTGTTTAACTGAAAGCATGAAACTGAGATCTTATCCCTTTGGACATTTTACTCTCGCAATGCGTGCCCTCGGTTCTATAGCCACTGGCTGCTAGTGACTTAAGAATTCACTTGGTCGGGGTGGGGATTTAGCTCAGTGGTAGAGCATTTGCCTAGCAAGTGTAAGGTCCAGGGTTTGGTCCTCAGCTCTGAAGAAAAAAAAAAAAAGGCAAAAAAGAATTCAGTTGGTCAAAGCATAGATGTAAAAAGGTCCAAGTCAATCCAGTTATTTCTCTGTGTTCTAGCTCTCTGTCCCTGACGCCATCTTGTGTTGCATATCCATGACCTTGGGCAAAAGAGTTACCCAGGAAGGCTTGGCTTGTAAAGTTTCAGAGAGAAGTTTGCTTTTCAGAGACGTTACCTGGGTTGTTCATGTGATACATTTGAATTAAGAACCTGCGGAAGGGCTAGAGAAAAGACTCGGCAGTGAAGAGCACTTGCTCTTGCAGAGGACCTGGGTTCAATTCTCAGCACCACATGGTGGCTCACCACCATCCATAAACCTCAGAACCCAACAGACAAGCACCTGGCATACATATATGCCTATAAAGAAAAATAGATCTAACAATTTAAGAGAGAATTCTGTGGAAGTGAAAACTTTGCTTCACTTAGACAATGAGCACTGCTCCTCTAGGACAGACAAATTAGCTGTGATTATAGAAGACACCTGGCTTGCTGAGGTAAAAGTCTTCTGGAAGCATTTCCTTAGTGTCAGCACACAGAAGCTGTGGTCCAGCGGGGCCAGGGCTGCGTTTCAAGCTGGCAGCTGAGCTTGGCAGTGTTTAAGAGTCTCCCACACGGTACTGGTTTGGGCAGTGTGAGAGCTGGATTGAAGGGGTCGTCATGGAGAGAAGCTGAGGCTTGGCACGGGGTGGGCGAGATTCCCAATCTGGGGCTGCATTCTTTCTACTTCTATCTAGCATTATTTGATTTAACTAATTTCACATAGAACTATTTTCTTGAAGTATCACAGAATGTTCCATAGGCTTTCGGAGTCTTAGTATATTATGGTATTTTTATGTGGCTTTTAAAAATTGCTGACCTCTTCATAAATTAAGTTAATTCACTGGGACACGAACATTCAGTGGACCTAAGCTGTCAGCCAGAGAACCTGATGTATGAGATAGGCAAGTCTCTAACATTGTATCTTTAAATTTTCAGATACTGATTTCACTAATATACAATCTAATATTAGAGCCCTGAGCAAAGACTCACGCTCTAGTTTATGCCCAATCACCGCCTCACAGGAAGATCCTGGGCAAGTCACTTGACCTTCTTAGATTTCAGTGTGTGAAACTAGCCATAAAACTGTGTAAAGCATGACCTCATTACAAACCCACTACAGTTGAAAGCTAAGACGTGCTTTGATATGTTAAAGAATTCCAAAGGAGCACTCATTTCTAAAATATAAACAAACAGAAAGTTGTTCTATGATGATTAAAATAATTCTAAGATGAATGGCACTGAACAAATAATGTCATGAAAAGGTTTCAAAGCACTTCATTTAGTGGAGTAGTTAAATGACACAGGAAAGTATTTGGCTGGCTTTGCAAAACCATAGATTGTAGTTATGTAACTAAAATAACTATAAGGGATGGAAGACTACCAGAAACAGAAGGATCCCCAATAAGTAAACATATTTTCATTTTTAGGATATCATTTCTCAACTTGTCACTGCATACCAAATGTTAAAATGCTAAATACCTTAGGAAGTCTGACAGAAAAAAAAATCCCAATTCCTTTAGGAATTATTAGTTACAATAATGGGTGTGTCTCTGTAGACCTATAATTCATTGGATTATTCACTATCCTTTAAACTGACTTCGTATTAGTCTCTTTTCTGTGAACATAGGGATATTATGCGTCTGTCTGTGAATGGTTTTTAAGCCATTTGCAAGACGGATGGCAGCCCCCTTCCCAGGGCTTGCCTGCTACCACTTCTCCTTAAAGGGCAGGTTGACCCTTTCTGTAGGATTCTAGAAAGAACGAAATTAAGTGCAGTCCCACAGTTGCTGACATATTGTCTGAGGTGATCCCAAGAAGTGCTCTGGAATTTGCAATGTCCAGGGGTATTTTGAATCTTTTAAAACACCCATCTGCACACTTGGACAAAGCCAGAAAAGAAAGATAACTAGTCTTTCCAGAGGGGAGCCTGCTAATCACACATTTTGCCACAATTTCTGAAAGAAGTAACAACCTGCAGCTTATCCTGGCCTTGCAAACAAAAGATCAAATTCTGTGCTCTGTCTTGGCAAGAAAAGGAACTGCAGCATTTTGTTAAGTCTTTTTTTTTTTTTTTAAGTTCCAGGCTCCAAATTAAGACCTGGAACTTTTTTTTGGTGTGTGTCCCCACCCCCACCCTAGTTTACAGAAGAATGAAGAATAGTAAATTCAAAGATTAAAACAGTATTTAAGGACTATAATTAAGATTGTAATTAAGATAGTCGAGCTCACTACTAGAATCAATTGGCTGTGCAGGTTTCAGCTGTAACCAGAGCGACTCTGAGCATCTTTCCCCTTCTTTGTATTTACGAATTTATGAATTTTCAGGACCAGGACAATTAGGAAAAACTCAAAGCATGGGCTTTGACGTCTACATAAGCTGTCCACTACTCAATTTAGAAGCAGGCCGAATAGAATTTGCCACAGGAAATAAGGAACCCAGCAAGGAACAACTCTTCAAGCATCTTTAAAATTTCAGTAGGTATGTAAAAACACGAAAACTAGACTGGTCGTGCATCTAAACATGACTCAGACTTAGGAACCGAGCTTCTAACTGTGCCTAGGACAGTTCTCCAAAATGCGAAAAGTAACATCTGACCAATTTCTTCCCCAAGGCCAAGCACCTTGTCTTCAACACACAGTCCCCTCTCCTCTGCAGTTAAAACTGGAAGGTTGATTCCCTCTCCCCATGGCTGTCCTCAGCCCGTAGACTTCCTGAAGGTCTTCCCCTGTGGGGACCCAGGACGGTGGCTCGGCAAAGCCACCAAGAGTGGTGGGAGGGGGACACACAGGTGGAGTGGGGCTGAGTGACCGACACACGGCTGGAAGCCCGAGGCGGTCCCCAGGTCTCGCTACGCAGGCATTCCAGCTCGGGGAGGACTCGTGCAGGAACAGGCCAGCACCCTTGCTCAGGTCCCAGCCTCCCCAGTGACCCCTGCCCGCGTACTGGGCCCGCCGCGCCGGGCGCGCCTCGGGGGGCGGGGCCTTGCGGTGAGGTCCGGCTGCCGCAGCGCCGCCCTGCGCGAGGCGGTACTGCCGCGGCGGAGGGATACCGCGCACCGTATATATATCGCGGCACACAGGCTCGCGCTACGGCAGTGGTGCTGGGAGTCTCGTGTCCGTGGTGCCGTTACTCGCAGTCGGGCGGCGGCTGAGGCTCAGCGCACAACGCAGGTAGCGCGTTAGCAGCGGCAGCGGAGGCACCTCGGCGGTCACAGCCCCTGTGCTGGTGCAGCCACCTTCACACCTGCCCCGCTCTTCCTTCCTTCGCTCGCACCATGGTAGGTTGGGATCGGCAGTGGCAGACGTAGCAGCTGCCCAAGCTTTCTTAACAGATTTGTAGTTGAGTCTTGGGGCTCCCCCTTTTCCTGGCTGAGGTTACCCCCCACCCCCACCCCCCCTTTTTTTTGGCCTGGGGTTACCCAGCAGCTGCGGTAAAGGGAGATGTGTTTCGGGTTTGCATCTCCGTTTTGGCTGCCAGGGGACCTCCTTTGAGTTTTGGGCGCCTTTGGGGCTGGACTCTACCGTGGGTTGTGCGCGGGCTGGAGCCGCTGCTACAGCTGCACCGGGCCCTTCCGCATCCACCCCCTCCGCCAGCCCCGCACCCACTGCATCCAGCGCGCCGCACCCGGGCTGCCTGCAGCGCAGTGCCTCGGCCGGGGCCAGCGGGGCGGGGGAGTCGGGCGGGGCAGGCCGCGACGTCCCGGTAGCCAGTCCCCGACCACGGAGAATGAATGGGTCGGGGCGAGCCGGGGCCGTACAGGGTTTGGACCGCGGACTCCGGGGTGTCCTCAGCCACCTTCAGATCCCCCTGACCAACTCAGTCGGGCGTCCTCCCTCGGCTGCGGTCCCCTCCTTCCTCCCGGGGGGCGCGGCGCGGGCGTGAGCTGGGAAGGAAGGAGTCGGGGAAGGGTGGGGTTGGGGGCAGGAAGGCGAAGGCTGGGGGGCGGAGAGGGCGGAAGCGGCCGCCCTGCGCCCGGGCGGGGCCCCCGCAGGGTGGCCGCGCGCGTGGCTGGGCCGTGCAACATCGGTCCCCCCTCCTGGTGCCGCGCGAGGCGGGAGCGATCGCTCGTGTCCGCGGGGAGGCCCCCTTCCCGCGGGAGGTGCTCGGCTCGCGCTAATTGGGGCGGCAGGGCGGGGGAGGAGAGAGTTGGCGCGCTCCTCGGTTTCCATTAGAGACGCAAAGTTTCTGCTGGGGAGGAGGCGGCGGCAGGCTCAGTGCCTGGGGGAGCAGGAGCGGTGGGAGGTGCTGGGGATAGGCAGCACTACGGTCCTGGGGCCCCTTTGGGTCTTCACCATACTGCGGCCCCTCGCCCGGCATGCCCCTTGTCTCACGCTGCTCCCCGGGCCGCAGGGAGATGCCCATCTATCTCTACGTTTCCGCTTTCTCTGTCGCCTCTGGCTTGCCAGATGTGACTATGCGGTTGGCCGTGTGCGTGTGCCGTGGCCCCCTTCTCCCTCGCCAGGCAGAGCTGACATCACCAGCAGCACCTTCTGCCCTGGCAAGGCGGCTAGATCGTTCCCGGCAGGTTCTGGAACGCCTTTGACCCAAAGCCAGAATGACTTGGGGGTGAGGTGGGGGCAATCGTTGTCCCGAAGGTAGAAGCACTTGACAGGCCTCTAGTCAAGAGAATTTTTCCGAGGAGGTGGAACTCCTCTCCCTGGTGATCTGACAGTTTCTCCTACGAGGTGTGGCAGTGCTTCCTGTCGTGGAAGACTGACATGGCGAGCATTACATAAATCGTGGCTCCATTTGCCTTAAAAGTAGCTTCCAGCGATGGATAGAAGGGAAGACCCACTTACAATTTAAAAAATAGAAGTTCTTTCTCTCCCAAGTCGATATACGGCGAGTTGCCACGGAAAAGAAATGAACTCCAGTGCCATCGGATTTCTCTTGAGATTTATTCTGTAACTGGCTTTATTAAAACATATTCTTCTGGTTAGAGGCACAGGTTCAGAGGTGCAGAAAGAAACTAAATAGTAGTGCAATTGCAAATCACCTTTGTGGCCATTTAGTACCTAGAACGTGGAAATACCAAGTATTGGCAATGAGCAGCTTTCCTGTCAATCTTAAGGTGGACAGGATTAATACCAGGAAATGATAATAGTTACTCCTGTACATGAGGAGAGGAGTAACCTATCGCCTCATAATTGTGTTTTCTGTGTGCTTCATTTTTGCAGTTTTGTAACAGTCCTAGGATTCAGTCTTTTTCTAGCTCCAGAATCATAGGATAAATTTGACTGAAAGGCATTAGCCATTGTAAACGGTAGGCTTTTAGCAAATAACTGCCTAATTTAAATGATTGGAAAGCATTTGTTATACTGAAATGAAACCTGGGTGGGTAACCCATTACTGTATATTTTTTCCACATAATTATTTCTCATAAAATGGGTATAAAAGCCTGGTAATCCTACCCAATACCGTTATGTAACGGCGGTGTGGAGATTTTGGAGGGCCCAAGGCTGTGCGCAAGGTGCACTAAAAAGCCTGCCCCTGGACAGGATCCGGCCCCGGCTGCCTGTCCGCGCCATTGGGTTGGGTCTCTTGGATGAAATCAGCATCTGCAGTGTCTATGGCGCAGTAGGTGGCGCTCTTCCTTCTCTGCCTGCTGCTGCAGATGGTGCCGTGGGTACTTCCACCACTAGAGGCGCCATTTCCCACATTGCGACTGACTGGTTTCTTTGCAGTGCTTAGTGCAAACCGCAGGCCAAGCAAGCCGCAGGCCAAAGAAATGAAGCCAGCAGAGGCTGTCACTTTTTTGTCACCCTTTATTGTTAAGCTAGCTTGAACAGTTTTCCTTTATTGTAGTAACTGCTACTAAATGCCAGAGCTAATGAATTCAGAACACTTTTTAAAATACTGATTTGAAAAAAAAAACCCACAATTTTAAAGTATAATTAGGAAAGCTAGGTTATTATCAACCAAACTTGTCTACATTAAATTATGATCTTTTCTTTCCCTGCGTAGGCTGATCAGCTGACTGAAGAACAGATTGCTGGTAAGTTGAAGACTCTGGAGAGTCCCCAGGAAACTGGAACTAGGCTCTGCGTGGTCTTGTGTCTCCCCTCTTATCCCTCCCAGTCTACGATCTCTGGTTTCCTAAGAATTATTAAGCAGCAGCAGTGAGGCCAGGTATTTTAGAGACGACATGACTCGGGTGTGCAGAGCTGCACTGTAGAATGAGAGCCACGGGAACTGCTACTCCAAAATGGACTTTCTAGTTCTCAGCCCACAAACCTTTTAGTAGTCTACCAGGGAAGCTTTTGCTTGCAATCCTAAAACACATGGAAAAGGTAAAGATTGATGCTGTAATAATTGGAGAATGAGACATCAGCTTGGGTGTTGTTTTGACATGGATGCCTTACCATGTAACTCCGGTTATTCTGGGACTTGCTATGTAGACCAGGCTAGTTTTGAACTCACAGAGATCTGTAGTTTGCCTCCAGAGTGCCACCGTGCCCAGCAACTTTACCCTTTTAATGTTTCCACCTTAATGTGTTTAAGGTGCCTCACTGGGGAAGAGCACGTGCTGCTCTTTGCAGAGGACTCGGGTTAGGTTCCCAGGACCCATATGGAGGTTTGCAGTGGTTTATAACTAGTTTCTAGTGGTCTGATGCTGCCCTCTGACCTCTGCAGACAGTAGGTACAAATGTGGTATACATCCAGACACATGGGGATACAGGCAAACACTGTACATGAAATAAATAAGTTTTCTATTTAGGACTTGTGAAAAAATGTCTTGAATGTGACAGAAAGCGTGGTGACTGCTTTGGGAGTGGGTGTGTCTGGTAACCATGTTGCTATGAAGCAAGTTGACTGTGGTTATAAAAGTGCGACATGAAAGGCCTTTCTTTGAAGGGACTTTACTGTAACTGGTAAATCGGCAGTCTCAGATTACACTTAATGACCAATTCGAGTATGTTCAAGCCAGTTTTCTTAAAAAGTAGGATATTGTGACTTTAGTATAGAGCCTGGTCACTAGGACAGTGTTTGCTTTCTGGGCTACTGTGTGTTGGCCAGACCAGCAGGTCTCTTGTGATCATTATTCCCGTAGAGAGGCCAGGTGGTTTCCTGTAACTTGGACAGCTTGTTTTGGCAAGCCTCAGGGAAGTGTGTACCACAACAGTGTTGGGTAAAAACATTGATACTAAAGAGTAAACATCTCTTTTCAGAATTCAAGGAAGCTTTCTCCCTATTCGATAAAGATGGTGACGGCACCATCACAACAAAGGAACTGGGGACTGTCATGCGGTCACTGGGTCAGAACCCCACAGAAGCTGAACTGCAGGATATGATCAACGAAGTGGATGCTGACGGTAAGGGCTGTAGAACTGAGTGAGCCAGTGTTGTCTAATTCAAGTTCAGACTTGTTATGGAATGTTTCTCAGGTCCCTAGAGCAAAGCAGTGTTCGGAGTCGCTTGCTCTGGTTGCCTCAGCCTCCTGACATTAGGATACAGGATTGTGGGCCTGCTGCTTGGGTCTGCTGCTGTCTAGAGCATTTCCTGGATTGGATCACTATTGTTCTTTTCTGCTTACTGAGACCTGCAGCTCCAGTCTTTTATCATCTGCCTGCTGAGGCTGCCAGTCCTGTGGGGGAAGTAAAAACAAGTAGTCAGAGAACCTGCTCCCTAAAGGAGCTGTTGTTTCTCAGCGGAGGAAGAGCCTGAGGGCGGTGGGTGGAGAGGGAGCACCCCTGGACCTTAGCAGTGTCTGAAGACTCTAAGGAATTTGTGGAATCTGAGAAGGGAAGCTGTGTCTACAAGGCTCAGGGCCAGCAAGAGCCAGCAGTTCCCCCATGACACTTGTCTGTTCATCCTCTAGATGACAAGCTTATTGCTCGTTTTTGTCAGTGAACTGGTTTGGAGGCACCCTCTCCCCTAATTGAAAAGTCACATATATCTAGGAAAGATAAGTTTTAAAGGAGCTAGGGAGGTACAGTATGGATCTAAGCTGTACTTTTAGACAGATGCAGCGAAAAGAGCCATTTGGAAAAGTATGACACCACAAAGTGTTGTGATAGATAGACTTTTCTGTGCTTGCTGAAAGACTTGAAAAGATTATACTCATCCTCAATGCTGCTTTTAGTATCTAGTTGATCAACCGTACAGCAACCTGGGTTGGGCCCTTCCTGTTGTATGTAAATCCTGGGAGGCCAGACTCAGTAGGGAGAGTGTATTTGACTATCATATTATATGGAACAGTGGGAGAGGTTGTGTGCCAAAGAATATCTTCTCATCCTTATAGGGAGCACTTAGTTGTTTATTTTGTCTTACACCAGCAGGGGATCTTTGATGCTGCATTCGCTTATATTGGTCTGCCATGTGGGGATCGAAAGCCATCCATAATACACCAGCCTTGGAAGTTACTTGTTGTAAATGTCCCGGTGAAAATGAATTGTAAATAAATACTCGTTTTTTTCCCCCTAATTTTATTTTCATTTATTTGAAGCTAGTGTTAATCTGGGATTTGTCTTTGGCACCGTTTCTTCCTTAGCTTTAGAGGAATCACTGGCAGTATTGGCTGTTGAGTGGATTCCTCTGACAGTTGTTTGAACATTAATGATCCGAAACTGAAAATGGCTTCTGAGCCTTTTTTTTTCCTTCATGAAACATGAAGATGCCGAGTTGGGGGTTTAGAAGTAAGAGTAAGTGCTTAGCGGATGAGAGGCTTTGGGTTCAATCCCCAGTACTAAGAAAGGCCATGTTGAGTAGGGACGTGGCTAGGAAGCCTACAGAATAGGACTGGAAGTACACCTGGAGAAGACTGGGGAGACCGGCCAGGGTGTAACACGGTGTTTTCTTCCCTCGTCTTTTCCCTCTAAAGCATTTTGTCCATCACCAGGGCATTACTAGTCAGGCCTGAGTATGCTCCCGGGCAGGCAATTGCATGCATGCTTCTTCCTTTCTCTTTTGACCTGCCTAGTCAATTTTCATAGTGGAGAATTCAGGTGTGCAGCTTCCTTTGCACCTGTAAGTGCTGTGGACACCGCCTAGTAGTGGAGTCACGTGACGTTTGTTGCTCTATGAGGTGTTGAACATTTTGGCTACAGAAGGTCAACCTAAGAAAAACAGTAGTTTATCATTCTGCTTACCACTTGAGTCCTACCAAATGCCGGAACATTCCATACCGTGTTCTAAGATTACTACTGCACAGGAGTGTCAGTGTGATGATGGTCCAACATGAACTCTTCCTTTTTTTAATTACAGGGAATGGCACCATTGACTTCCCAGAGTTCTTGACTATGATGGCTAGAAAAATGAAAGACACAGATAGTGAAGAAGAAATCCGTGAGGCATTCCGAGTCTTTGACAAGGTAATCTTGCACACTTGCCTTGGAGAGATACATCTCATGGTGCCCTGTGCTGTCGCTGCTGAAAGTTGTACCTGTTGGTTGGTTAGAGTTGGCTTGAGTGTCTGACCCTCTAATCTGACTCCTGTAAGTGACAGTATTTACCTGGCTGAAGTGAGGGCCAGCAGAGAGGAACACTAAATTTACTGTCCCTGTCTTTGTTATGTTCAGTGTCTATGTGCATTTGAAAAACCCTCTGCATTCTGTTTTTGACAACTGGTGGGGTCTGGGGACGTGGGAGGGTTGATGTGCAGAGTTGTCAGGAACTCTGTGAGGAAGAGTAAGTTCATTCAGAGAGTTGCTCTCCTAAGACTCATCCACCATTGCCGTGTAATGTCACTGCCTGTCCACAGGATGGGAATGGCTACATCAGTGCAGCAGAACTGCGCCACGTCATGACGAACTTAGGAGAGAAGCTAACAGATGAAGAAGTCGATGAAATGATCAGAGAGGCAGACATCGATGGGGACGGACAAGTCAACTATGAAGGTAAAGGCTAAGCTAATCTTGAGCCTGGCTTTCAGTAGCCTTCGGGCCTGTTAGTCAGCTTAGCAGCTGCTGTGGATGGTCACCAGTCGTGTTGTACACAGTAGATGTGTTCATTACAGCTTCTCTTGAAGATACTGAAACGTTACGATTATTTGTCTTTTCAGAATTCGTACAGATGATGACTGCAAAATGAAGACCTACTTTCAACTACTTTTCCCCCTCTAGAAGAATCAAATTGAAATCTTTTACTTACCTCTTACAAAAAAAAAAAAAAAAAAGAAAGAAAAAAGTTCATTTCTTCATTCTGTTTGTATCTAGCAAAATTGAATGTCAAAAGTACCTTCTGTCCACACACAAGACCTGCATGTATTGGTTGGTGGTCCTGCCCCCTAAAGATCAAGCCCCCTACATCAGTTTTACAGTATAAATACTCGTACTACCTTATAAGGAAGCACTTAGTGGACTCCTTAAAGTTCCATTTGCTAATGATTAATACACTGTTTGGGCTGGCCAGTTTCTCATGCATGCGGCTTGATGAGTGAGCACAGTCAGGCATTTGTATTAAAACCGAAAAATGGAAAAAACAAATTCAAAATCTCAGATGGCTTCTAGTTCAATCTGTTGAGATAAATTGTCAGCAGCCAGTTCACTGCAAGCAAACATTTAAAATTGGTTTACCTCAGGATGATGTGCAGAAAATGGGTAAAGGCTAAACTCTGAGACACAGACCTAGAAGTAGGACAGTCCTCTTGAAGTGCCCCAATCCCATGGTGACAGTGACACCCTGGTGGCGAGCCCGAGTGCGATGGTTCACTGCTGTGCGCTTGCACTGGAGTGACATGAACCACAAGGCTGTCCCCGAATCACACACATTTTATTAGAAATGTTTGCTAAGGGAGCATCTTTGGACTCTCTGTTCTAAAACCTTGTGAACCGTGACTCGGAGCCCGCAGAGCAGGCTGTGTCAGTGGACTTGAGCACACCATCAACATTGCTGTTCAGGAAATTATAATTTACGTCCATTCCAAGTTGTAAATGCTAGTCTTTTATTTTTTTTTTTCCAATAAAAAGACCATTAACTTAAAAGTGGTGTTAAATGCTTTGTAAAGCTGAGATTGGAAGGGGACAGGCCAAGGCCGTTGGAGGGGAGGTCAGTATACACAGAAACACCCACCATCCAGTGCAAGCTGGATTTCCCGCCATGTTCTCTAGCATCAACTGAAGCCAGACAGATCCGGAGTTCTTTGTCATCTATGAGGACGTAAGTCTAGTTGTCTTGTGTGTGTGCATACTCGAATCATGGTCGGTTGATGTTCAGAGGAGAGCCCTAGTGAGGGAAGGCCCCTTGAGCATGCAGTTAGGATGTCTTGGCTGTGCTGTTGCTGACCTGTTGTAACTACAGGAGGCCATCTGTGCAGGAGACATGATTAGTGTGTAATCCTATACTCACTGTGTATGGTGGAAGCAGGCTGGTCAAAGACACTACCTTTAATTCAGTTTGTAATTTACGGTTATACTTAACTTTAGCCTTTATACTTTATTATTATTATTATTTAAGTTAACTGCTTTTTTTTCCCCCTGTAAGTAGAGTTAATGCTTAACACTGGCTTAAAAGCAAAGAAACAAAACAATATCCCAGAAAGAATTTCCTGTCTAATTACAAACCTGTAACCAAAACGTAGACATGCTGGTACTGGGCCCTTCCAAGGCACTGGTCCGTTTAAAAAGCCCCCCTTAGAAGTGTGTTGCATTTAAAACAAGGGCCTTGTACATTTTTTCAGGGTGTTTTCAGGTGATTAGCAAGGGGCTTTGGCTTCCAAATTCGGGGGTAGCAGAGAGCTGGCAGGCTTCTGTTCTGGCAAGGCAATGAGAAACCCTTGGCAACTACATGGGTGCACTTGGGGCTAACCTGTAGACCCCTGGTTGCTCCCTCTCCTGCTCCCTGTCTTTCTGGCATTTTGTAGCTCCTTAGAATGTTTTTCTTTTCTGCCAGAGGGATGGGTCAGAGCCGTGGAGGGGAAGACATTGCCTGAGCACTTCTGCTCATCCTTGGACTGGGTGGTTGGCAGACATTTTGGTGTGCTCGCTGTAAGTTGACTTTAGTATCTGGATTGTTGGGTTTTCCCTTCTGGTAGAGAGGAGGACTGAGGGTTCCAGGTGTGAGGAAGTGAATGAATGGCGGTGGATCTGTCTTGTAAGAGGATTGATTAAATCACCAGTCAATGACCCAGACTCAGACTTGTCTGTAACCTCTTGGTCGTTTCAAAGATGGTTGGAGGTGACTTTAAAAATTTACCTCCTATCTGTTACCTTTTACCAAGTCTGTAGAAGCTGGGTAGACATTTAGCCGCCCCAGAGCCTGTCCTAAAAGATTACCTTCGAAACAGGATTCTTGTGTGGCCAGGAATCCTGCTTGGGAACCAGAAACCCTAACCCCCCAGGGAATGTGAAGCTGGGGTTTGGAACTGTAGGAGGCAGAGTCCCACCACCTCCTCAGCCTTCTGGCATCGTGGGGAACAACCAGCCCAGGGCTTGGTTTTGGCAGTCTGAGTTCGTGAGGTAGAGTGGGGTGTCAAGGCAGTACCCCTGAAGTCAGCACTTTGTGTAAACCGTCCCTCACTTATAACTACTCTATAAATATATACATATATTTATATAAATATATATATAGGAAGCGACTAGTTAACTGGCATCCTGCTTTAGCCTGAGACTGGCCCTAAGAAACTGCTGAGCCCTTGGCACGCCTCTACACAGTGTGGTTTCTGTCTGTTGGGGGGAGCTGTTGAGCAAGGCAAACATCTTGATAGTTGAGATGGGCTTTAATGTACTGTTGCCAGGGAAGGCTTTTTCTGATTTTTTGACAAATTTTTGCACACTTTAATTGGTGTCTTTGAGCAACTTAAACACATTGAAGATGAGCTATTGTACATATTTTTATATTCTCTTTATAAGTGCATGTCCAACTTGTAACCATATTGTAAGGAATGGCTGTCCAGTAGGCCTAGTGTTACTGTCACATAAGAGGGATAGCATCTATCATTCGCCCCTCAGCATCCTGGGAACTTCTTCTTGAATGAAGACTGTAAATTTGGTCAAGTCAACTCTTAGCTCAGTTATCTTAACCATTTGAATGATTTATTGTGTGTCCTACATATATTTCTCTTTGGCAGCGACCAGAGTTAAACTGATGTGTCTCAGCTGACCCACTCAGCTGGCAGTCACCTACTTTTTTTCTTTTTCAATACCCCTTGAAGTTGTCTAGTAGAAGACAGATTATTTGCTGTCTATCCCTTTGAGTAAGAAATCAGGGATGTGTGCTCTTCCTCTAGACCTACAATGTTCATTAAACACCTATAGCGAGGATGATGGTGGTCCTTCCGTTACTGAAGTCACCCTTCACTGTGGCTGTTTGAAAAGGAGATGTACTTGGATGTTCTGTAAATCTTGAGATAAACTGTTTTGGAGATTTAACCACCTCTCTGATGGGGGACCAACTCTATGGAAATTGTAAATAAGTTTTATTTATAAACCTGGCACTGTATTCAATAAACATTTCTGCAGCCTTTCATCTCTTAACTGTGAACTGTGTAGGTTTGGCTCTCATGGCTTCCAGTCTCCTTTGCGCTATACAAGGCAGACCTTCTTGCTCTCAAGTAGACTACCCCGGGCTATTGGTGAGTGTGTGGAGCTAGAGATGGTAGGGACAACAGCACCTAAGTAGTTATTCCAGCATTAAGTAGTTTGGGGGGTTACCCAGACTCAGATTAAAATCACTTTGACTTTCAGAAATGTGTTTTTAAGCTGGCTGTGGTGAAGCAGAGACAAATGGGTCTCTTGAGTTAAGGTTAGCCTGGTCTGCTGGAGTTCCAAGTCAGCTACATATGGAGACTCAGAACAAATAACAAAAAGAAATGTTAAGATGAACATTTTAGGTGGCCGGGTGGAAGTATAGTTCACTTGGTAGAGTTCTTGTTTACCATACATGAAGTCCTGGGTTTTTTATTTGGCACCGGGTATCATAAGCTGGATGTGATGACACACACGTGTAATCTCAACACTTTGAACATTGGAGAGGTAGAGGCAGGAGGATCAGAAAGTCAAGACCATCCGCAGCTCCACAGTGCTGTCCCAGAACCTTGTTTGTATCCTGTCTTCAGAGAGATCTTACCTAAACTCCCACCCCTAATTACTTTCCTATTCTTCAATGATGCAGGATGCAGGGAGGGCTGGAAAGGGAGGGGGATCACAATAAGCCCCTTCTTGGCCAGAAGAAAGCTTTATCTTTAGAGCCCCTCCTGTGCATACAAACCCTGGGACTACAGGGTTGTAGACCTTGAGGAGATTCACCCTGGGATGTTAGGGCTGTGCTCAGACTTGTCCCTGGGTAGCCTTGGGCAGGTTCCCTACCATCTAGGCCTGAAATTAAGATTAGTCCAGTACTGTGTTGGCTTTCTGGGATTCTGCCCAAACTGGATTGACATCGTTGCTTGATGTCTAAATCAAGATTGAAGCCTAAAGAATGAGAAGTCCCTTAGGAGTTGCTTGTCCTTTGAGATGACAATGGGACGTCAACATTCTCAGCTCTGGTAGAATGGAGGCCAAGCTTACTGTCAGGACCATGAAAGCTAGGAAAGTGGGTAAGTGGGTTCCATTATCCCAGAAGAGAAACAGAGCCACCACTGGGCCTGTAAGAGGCTGCGTCCAACTGACCCTGCATTTGGTTTGTCAGTGGCTCTAGTAGGTAAACACTAAAAAGCGCACACACACACACACACACACACACACACACACACACGATGCCAATCTCAACTGAACTGTCTTGGGCACCCAGTGACTCAGGATGCCTTAGAAGGGAAGAAAACAAAGCTTTTTATAGTTCCCTGCTTTTCTTTGACTGCCCTCCATTCTGCCTGGGGGGAGTGGGAAGAGCCAGCTCAGACTGCAGAGACACACCCCAAAACTGACTGCATAGTTCTGAGGCTGGCTTGGCCAGTTTCCCATCTTGACAGTCTGAACTTGGGGCTGGGGGCGGAAGGAGGCCAGTTCCCCTCATAAAAATGACTCATTGTATCGGCAACCTTTCAGAGAGGATTTCAGGTGTTATGTCCTAACAGTATTTCCAGTTTTCCAAGGACCAAGGAGAAAACCCGGTCTCCTTTGATAATCGTTAACAATTTTATTTATATCCGTGTGCTTATATATGCATGTGCATGGTGTGTGCGTGCATGTGTGTGCGTGTGCGTGTGCGTGTGCGTGTGCGTGTGTGTGTGTGTATGCACATGCTACATATAGTGCATACAAGTAGAGATCAGGGGACAGCTTGTGGAGTTGCTTTTCTCTTTCTCTATGTGGGTTCCAGGGATGGAAACAGATTTCCAAGCTTCCTCAGCAAGTACCTTTACAGCTTAGCTTTCTCACACGCAGCCCCTCCCCCAAGCCCTGGGAGTTCTTGAGGATTTTATCAGAATGTAGTCTGTCTTAGTTTTGTCGAAACATGCAGAGTTTGCTTTTAAACTAATTTTCTTTCGCCTCTATAAATTTTAGTATTCTCATTAAACTGCAATATTTCCTCTGTAGTTACTCATTTTGTGATAGACGTAGGTTTTCATCCGCTAGACAGATTAATATCGGCATCAAGATTTAAGACAGATTATTAAAAGGGAATGGGGGAAATATGTAGCATTGTGGGGCACATGTTTAGCATATACGAGGAGGCCCTGAAAAGGATCCATACTGTGTTATGGTGGCACATGACAGAAATGCAGCGCACAGAAGGTAGAGGCAGGAAGTTCAGGAGCTGTAGGCCACACATATAGCTAGTTTGAGACAGTCTGGGCTACAGTGGGACCCTGTCAGACAAACACAAAAGAATGACCAGTGGGACTGCAGGAGAAATGGCTGTTAAGAAGACACATCACATTGCTCTTGCAGAGGACCTGAGTTTGGTTCTCAGCATCCACATCACCACAGGTTGACGCACATACCCACTGAAAGGAAAAGTCTCGGCTCAGGATACCCGAGACCAAGTTCTTAGCACAGAGGAGATTTCTTTGCCCTAGAGGGACAAAGGTCAGGAAATAAGAGACAAGGACAGGAGATAGCAAGGGAGAAGGGGAAGGGAAGGGGAGAGAGGGAAGGAATGAGAAAGGACTACCCCTGGATAGAAGACTACCAGGGCCTATAGGTAAGTGGTTTTAAAGGAAAAGGGGGAGACCCACATTAGGTTGAGGTGTTTAATGTTAATTGGGTACGTTAGTTAGGTGAACCAAAGGGGGGTTTGATAGCTAGACCTTAGCAGTCAGCCCCAGGAGGAGGAAGTGGCCAAATAAGGAATAGAACTTGGGGTCTAGCTTTAGGAATATATAAGCCAACAGTTTTTTATTAAGGTAGAGGGAACTGGGGAGAAGGGCAAGGCCTGCCAGAGCCATATCATGTGCTTGAGTGGGCAAGCGTCCCTTCACACCCCCCATATACACATAATTAAAAATAGAGTGGTGGTGGACTCAGGAGGCAGAGGCAGGCAGATTTCCGTGAGTTCAAGGCCAGCCTGGTCTACAGAGTGAGTTCCAGGACAACTGGGGCTAAACAGTGAAACCCTATCTCTAAAAATCAAAAAGGAAAAAAAAAAATCTTGAAATGAACCAAGAACTTTATAAAAGGGACTCTTAGAAAGATGGCTTATTCCAAGCACGAGGACCCAAGCTTGGATTTCTGACACCCATGTATAAAGCCAGGCACAGGAATGCAAAACTATAGAGGCAAAGACAAGTAGATTCCTAGAGCTTGCTGGTCAACCAGCTCAGTCAAATCAGTCGCCTCAAGTGACCTCCATGATCTGTGAGAGACCCTACTTAGACAGACAGACAGACAGACAGACACACACACACACACACACGAAGGAGCCTGGTAAAATGGCTCTGGGTAAAGGGTCCTGCCATGTGAAACCAGCCACCCCAATTTGGCCTCTGGAAATCACAGCAGAGGGATATGACCTCTGGAAGTTATTCTCTGACTTTTACATGTGAGCCATGATACATCCATTTTCACAAATGATACTGTAGTTAAAGGTACTTATTAAGTCAAATCCCCTGCCAACACAAATATCTGTATCTGATGGTGCTCAAACTTTTTGGATTGTTTCTAACAACAAGGAACTTATCCCTAGGTTATCCTTTCTTGTTTTCTAGAAGTGTTCTTCTGAGTCTAGAAGAAATTCTATTGTGTAAAACTTGTAACATCAGCTGCATATGATAGCACACTGATAATCATAGTTCTTGGGAGATAGAAACAAAGAGGCTTAGGAGTCAGGGCTATCCTTAGCTTTATATCAAGTTCGAGGCCAGCTCAGGCTTCAATAGACCTTATCTTCAAACTATGTGCCATCAAATCACCCACTACCTTATAAACAGTAGTTATTACTTTGTATTTCCTTCCAGAATCTTTTTGGCCATATAGATTCAGAGATACAGTTTACATGATGGCTTAGTTTCTTTCCTTGCTGCTGTGATACAAGCACCTTGACAAAAGCAACTTAAGGGAGAAAAAGTTTATTTTGACTCACAGTTCAAGGGTACAGTCCATCACCGGGTTAGGAACTTGAAACCGCTGCTCATGTGGCATTCACAATCAGGAACAGAGAGTTGTGAACGTAGGCTAGTGCTCAACTCCCTCTCTCTGTTTACACAGTCCAAAATCCCAGCCCAGGGAGTGGCACCACCCACAGTGGGCATGGCCTTTCAACTTAACTAAGGCAATCCCCAACAGGAATGCCCAGACACCATTTCCCATGTGCTTCTAGATCCTATCAAGTTGACAGTTAACACCATGATCATCACAAAATCTTCATGCAGTTTTAAAAAAGAATTAGGTATAATAGTCTTTAGTATTATATATATATATGTATATGTATATGTATAGATATAGATATAGAGATATAAAGATGTACTTTTCTATCTATGTCTTGTTTTGAGATATAATTCATATAGCTTACATAGCTATTGATGCACTCACCACAATATCTTACCACTACCTGGTTTTAGAGTATTTTCTTTTTTCTAGTGCTCTCCTAAGGAGATAAACTTCTATCCCCTAATATCTGGACATTTTCATCACCCATCTGAAAAAGCCTTTATAGTCCTGGGAGACACTCCCTAGCCCCAGCACGCAGCAAGTTCTAACCTCCTTTCTGTCTCCATGGCTATGTCTATACTGGATATGTAAATTAGGTTCCATATTCACTGTGTTCCCGCCTCCTTCTCATGTTGTAGAGTGCAGATTTCTCTACCTACTTCTTTAGTTTTTAGGAACTGGCTGTGTTAGTTTGGTAGAGTTTGACATCCTAATAAAGACCATCTGGCACATGATATTTCTACTGGTTCTCACCTGGTGCTAGATTGGAGTTGGGCTTGTCCTTCATTTTCATTTAGGGGTCCTGCTGTGACTCTATGGGGCTCACCCTTGACATCTAATCCTGGTCCCAGGCCAAGCCTAGTGCTGGTCTCCACAGGGATAGATCTTGCTTTCTTGCTCATGTGCCTTAAAAAAGTTTACAGTTATGTGTGTGTCTGTCTGTATGT